ATTATTTATGATTTTTTGGATTTCAAATGAAACTAAACTCACGTTCATAGCTTATTTGTCTAGTTTACTCAGCCCTTGTTTGACAATCATTATTTCAAAACTTTTTAATTCTCACTCATTTTCAACTAAACATTTACACAATAAAATATTTTGCACTTAAAAATAATATTTTTCCTACTTTTTAACCACATATTCTATAAAATAATATCACTGTTCAAAACTCCATTTTCTCAAAATAATGGTTTTCAAACAAGGGCTAAAAGAAGAAATCAGCAACAAACAAATGGGCCGTTCTAACACTGTAGCTAACTGCCATGGGAATAAGGTATTGGTCAAATACATTTAATTCTGTAGGTATATGAGTACCTGAAGCAGGCCCTTTGTCATCTCAATGAGCTCATGAATACAAAACTTCCCATTGTAATATGTATTGCCTTACATGACAAAAGCCACCAATTACATATCTTGCTTGGATTTGTCTCTACACGTATAGTCAGCTGCTTAACTAAAAAAGAAAAAAGCGAGGCCAAGATGAGACATGCTATTCCACAAAAACGTCAGAGTACATATCATGCTAAAATGTCTGTTTAATAGTTATTCCATCTCTCATTTGAACACACTGATATGCTTTGGTTTACCTGTAACAACTAAAGTTGTAAGGGCCCACTTTTTGACTAATGGTCTTGGTGATTCTCAATGCAGGCAGGAGTAATGAAAACCCATGACGAAGAGACCAAGAAGTTCTTCCGGCACTCATCTGTCATATGTGTTTTATCACCACGTTATGCCAGCGGTAAACTCAGCTTTTTGAAACAACAGGTTGAGCTCGTGCACTGTCAAAACAATTTGTTTTCTGCCTTCTATTTTGGATTACATTTATGATAGTATCTTGATGTGCTAAACAATGGCTGTTTCCAGGTTATTGGAAATCTTTTTACGCACCATCAGAAATGTGTTCTTGTTGATACACAAGCCTATGGTAACAATCGAAAAATCACTGCATTTTTAGGTGGTCTTGATCTATGTGATGGCCGATACGATACACCTGAACACCGATTATTCCGTGGTCTTGATAGTGTATTTAAGGACGATTTTCATCAACCTACATTCCCGGTGAGTAGTTTATTTCATTTTTATTCTAGCTATGCACGTCTTGTGTCAATCATTTTACAGCATTTGATCCTCCGTTTAGAATACTCCTTACAATTACTAAAGAAGGAAGGATGTTTGAGTGGTGCTTAAAATGCCTTCATTCGTGCTGTGAGCGTAAACAAACACACGTGTTCTCTTTCTACACCTCATAATTGAAGATATCATATTATTTCTTAAGAATTATGTTAGATTTTTTTAATTTATTGCGAATTATATTTTTGGAGATGAAAACTCGATGAAAATATGGCAAGAAATTGCATGGTATTGCCTGATTTGATTACAAAATTTTTAGCTTGCAGTGAAGAATACATGCATTTGGTAGGTAGCAAAGAATAATGGATAGGGATTGGTGAATAAAGAACCTTTTTTAAGATTCCATGAAGATGATAAGCATCGTAAAGCTAATCAGGCCAAGATGAATATATCAAGAATTCTAGACCATTGTAGAATTTCATAAATCTTGAAAGCGAGTAAAACAATTAGATGACACTTTGTGTTGTGCATATATGCCTTGGTTCAGAACTTGGCCTAATCCTAGATGCTCTGAATTTAGCGGGCCATAGCTCAGTCTTATATTTCTCTTAAGACTTGTCAAGGTAGTGTTTATATGACCTTGCATTTCTTTATCCCTTGTTTTCATTTCTTCACATATTGCCTTTATCAGGAAGGAGCCAAGGCCCCAAGACAGCCTTGGCATGATTTACACTGCAGAATAGATGGGCCTGCTGCATATGATGTCCTTGTAAACTTTGCTCAACGTTGGAGAAAAACAACCAAGTGGAGAGAATTTAGTTTACTTAAGAAAAAGATGTCAAATTGGAATGATGATGCTATGATAAAAATTGATCGGATATCGTGGATACTCAGTCCTGCCTTTTCCATTGCAAAGGATGGAACTTACACATCATCTCCAGAGGATGATCCTAAGCTTCATGTGTCTAGGGAAGAGAACCCAGAAAATTGGCATGTGCAGGTTGTGTAGTATTCGTCTTGCATGTGAATGTATTTGATGAAAAATCTTGAAATCCTTTTCATCTTGATCCTTTTCTCTTCCACAGATATTCCGGTCCATTGATTCAGGGTCAGTTAAAGGCTTTCCCAAATTCTATGATGTTGCAAAGTCTCAGGTTATAAAAAACCATCTCCATGCTTCATTTTTCAGCTTGTTATACATGTAAATTCCAACACTGTGTCTGTTGGTATGCTTCCAAGTCATAAATGGTGTCAAACTTATGACTACGATTTTCGTGTTAGCATGTGACTGCTATCTTCCTTACTTCACAATAACATCTGAATTGTTTTATTCAGAACCTTGTCTACTCAAAAAATCTGGTGATAGACAAAAGCATCCAAGTGGCATACATTCAGGCGATAAGATCTGCTCAGCATTTTATCTATATTGAAAATCAGTACTTTCTTGGATCATCGTATGCTTGGCCAGAATATAAAGATGCAGGTGATTGCATTGAAGAAATCTCAGTATTATCATTTTCCAGTCTAATTAAACAGTGATTTCTTGATGCATATATCAACCGTATATTTTGAAATTCAATTAAATGCTATGCTGTTTTGACTAGACATATTTGGTTGAGCTCAGCTCTCCCAATATTATCTTTCAAAATGGGACTTTTTCTAAATTCATTTTGTCTGTATATGTACTGATTCTTGGTGCTAGGAAATCGAGATTATTTTCTTTGTCAAGACCAAACTTCTATTTGCTTGATTACTGGTTTATGTTTTCACAGTTTCAATTATCTGAATATTACTGTTTTTAATATATTTATCAGGCGCTGATCATCTGATCCCAATGGAGTTAGCACTGAAAATTGCTAGTAAAATAAGAGCCAAGGAGAGGTTTGCAGTATATGTTGTTGTACCAATGTGGCCTGAGGGCAACCCTAAAGATAATGTTATCCAAGAAATTCTTTTTTGGCAGGTATTGCACTTTGAGTACCATGAAAAAGTTGGCAATTTCTTTAAGAGTGGAACTCAGGTGAACTTGGTACATTGCCAAGTAATTAGTAACTAATTATTAGAAATTTTTTGACAGAAAATTAGAATGAGCGAAGGATAATTCACGCAAGCATTAAGGGTCCGCTTGATTGCAAGAATGAAATTTGGGTGGAAAGAAAATGAATTCCAGGGAATTGAATTGTCCAGAACTTGTTTTTTTGGGAATTATCAATTAATTGTATTTGATTGATATAATTTTCTACCTAGAAAATATTGAAATTTTGGATCTTTTAGTGTTCGTTTGACTTATTTTTCATGGAAATTATTCATTAAAAGGATATAATTTGTTACAATTGGGGATATAATTTGTTTTCATTGTCAAAAAAATAAAAAAGTTGCATGGAAAAGTTTTTCCTCAAAAACCAAGAAAATGTGAACATGTGGGTGAAAGATGGTAAATCAATTCCATGGAAATTTTGGGTAATCAAACATGCAAAAAGATGGGAAATGGAATTTAATTTCCATCTTCCATGGAACTGAAATGCAATCAAATATGGCCTAAGTGTTAGGAAAAGATAGCCCTTGTTTGAGCCCTATTTTTTCGAAAATTCATTTTTTCAAAACTCATTTCTAATTATACATTCTTCAATAAATCGATAATCTTTTCTTATTTTTTAATCAGCATTTTCCAAAAAATCACTATTTCAAAATACATTTTCACCAAAATGGGGCTCAAACAAGGGCATAATATTGATATAATTTTGCGATTTATGAATATATATTTCTTGTTTAGAGTTATTTTATTATATTGAAATTTGAAGAGAGGGACAAGAAAATATTCATAGGAAGCTAGTGTTAATGTCTTGGTTTTGCGACTTTGTTAAATGATGATATAGAGGATTGCAAGCTAGAAATTTTTCTTCTCATCAGAATTTGATTATAAATAAATAGAAGTAAAAGCTAGTTTCTCATTGCTTACAGGCTTGAACTGTTACTCTTCTTACGGTAGCAACTAGTAATGTCTTTGATCTTTATCAATAGGAGAAGCTTAATGGTAGCATAACATATGCCTGTGATTCAATCTAAAAATGTAAAGGATGCTTCATGTGGCTTTACTTTAAGCGCTCTGCAACCTAATGTGAGGACAAATTTGTAGAGTCATGCAATTAGGACTGGACATGGTGAATCGAACCGAACCAAAATTTTTGAGTATTTAATAAGTGGAACCATCGGGTCTAAATTTAATTATGGTTCGATTCGGTTCTGGACCATAATTAAATTTTTTGACATTTACAATAATAGTAAATTAATCCAGCTAATGATATGTTCAATTTTAGCTCCTATAACAACACTACATTAACTCTTACGAAATAAAGCAGTCCAATTTAAAAATATACAAATAACAATTAATTTGAGAAACGTTATAATGATTGAGAAAAACTTAGGTACTCAATTTTGATCTTTTGAAATTTGAATTGTAAAGTTGGGCTTGAATTGAAAATAGGAAAAATGATATTTTGGCTCAATTAATTAGTTGGTAAATTTATTTAGAAAAAATTAAAATAAGTTGGCTCATTCATTATAAAAAAAATAAAATAAAAATTAGGAAGATTCGGTTCATTAGTTCTGGGTTTAGAACAGAGAAATAAACTAAATTTGTCGGTTCTCGATTTTGATACTCGTTTGAGTATTTAATTTAAGAAGTTCAGTTCGGGTCCAATCCCGCTCAATTTGATTCGGTTCGATTCGGTTCGGTTCGAGAGTTTTGTCCAGTTCTACGTGCAATAAAAAATGGTTTATGGTTTTAAAGACTTGCTATTTTTCCACTATTAACTGGATCACCATTTGTTTTGGGGAACAATTGTTTGCCAACTTGTTCTGTCCTCAAATGAAGAAATATTTGACAATAGGTGTTGCAGATAAAGAAAAGGATTGGGAGATTATGTGGCTGAATGGTATTTGCACTTGACAGGGCCAGACAATGCAGATGATGTATAAAGTGGTTGCACAGGAGCTCAAGTCTACGCAACTTGTGGACTCACACCCTCTTGACTATTTGAATTTCTATTGCCTTGGGAACCGAGAAGAAATTCCAGATACGATTGCTCAGTCCTCAGGAGATGCTGATAAGGTAGTTGTCGAATGGTGACTTATCCATTACAAATCATGGAAGGGCTTTTTTTTTTGTTTATGTTTTGAACCTTCCTATTAGTATTGCAATAAAATATTTTTTCAAATTTGGCTATGCCTTCATCCTTTTGTATCTTACACTATCTATTTATACTTTACTGTTTGATTTCTTCCAACACCACTGGGGGAGAGGTAGGAAAGAGGAGAGAGCAACCTGGTCATTACACCTTGTGGTCTTAGGAATCAACCTTGACAGAGCAATACATCATGTCTCAAAAAAGAGCTGAATTTTGCTTCATTCCATTTCTAAAGCTAGCTGAATCCAGCACATTTTAACAGACTTCCTCAACCATATATTTTCTGCGAATTTGCTTTAGATTACTTTTTCCACCGGCTTTGAATCAGATCATCTTGTTTTAAGGCAGCCTGCATCTTTTTCTATACATCCGTGGTCATAATTTCGTGTCTATCTTGCCACCACTGATGTGGTACAGCAGCCATCAAAATATTTTTCATCAGGAAGTTCGATGGTACAACTATAACAGATGCAGATTCATGCAAACTTAAGCTCCAATCTTCATTCGAGGACAAACAAAAATTGATTAGGTTTCTGTGTGTTCTTCATATCTATATGTGCACTAGGAGGTATATAATGATATATATAATTGTTCAGACCTCTCTATTGTCTGATGGCACCAAAGTGATACAGCCATAACCTCCTTACAACACTGAACCTCGCCTACGACTAAACACTGGCCTTGCCTGCTCATCACGTTTTCGTCTAATTTGAAATGACAAGCGAGGGACGGAAACAATTGTCATAAGTAGAATGGGAGGTTTTGATATGAGCTATCATGTTTGTCAAACGGTACCCCTGGAAGTCTTTAATTCATAATCCACATTCCACACTCCCAGCACTATTTCTCCTCCTTACAATTCTGTTTTGTACTTCAAATGTCCTTGTAATGGTTGTTTTCTCAATTAATTTGAGTTGTACTGGTGGTTTCACATGCAAATACGTACATTCTTGAACCATTATATTTTTTGTTCCTGCTTTTGGGGGTTGTGACCGTAAAATATAGATGAATTTGCATTAACATTTTCTGATTAGTGTGGGATTGTATCTTGTGTCATTCTTTAAATTATATCTTGGTGAAAAATTCCTAAAGTTCTCCTTTCAATTTGATATGAATTTAGGTTTCAGACTCGCTAAAATTCAAGCGGTTTATGATATATGTGCATGCCAAAGGAATGGTAGTGGATGATGAGTATGTGATAGTAGGATCTGCCAATATAAATCAAAGATCTATGGCTGGCACTAAAGACACGGAGATAGCTATGGGTGCATATCAGCCCCATCGCACTTGGGCAAAGGAGCAGCAGCGTCCACGTGGCCAGGTTTGATTACTAACTGTATGGCAACTTTTCTGTTATGTTCAAGTTTCCCTTTTTTTTTTTTTTTGTGGGGTTTTTGGTGGGGGGATGGTGGTGCGTTTTACTTCGACGCCTGCTGGCCTTAGTTCCCAAGGTGCATTAGAGGGATATTAGTTTTTCAACCATTTACTGCATTGTATGCACCCATTTTCCTTATTATCATTTTCACATGCAGGTTTACGGATATAGAATGTCCCTATGGGCTGAACACCTTGGGATGGTTGAAAAGTGTTTCGAGGAGCCAGAGACAATGGAGTGCGTAAAGAGAGTAAACGAGGTTGCTGAAGATAATTGGAAGAGGTACACGGCTGAGGAGTTCAGAACATTGCAAGGCCATCTTCTCAAGTATCCCATAGAAGTGGATGACAATGGTAATGTAGGTCCATTGCCTGGACATGAGAATTTCCCGGATCTCGGGGGTAGAGTACTCGGGGCTCATTCCCCTACCATTCCCGACGTTTTAACAACATGATGTTTCCCATTGTGCTTCCGTTGGATTGCTGTGAAAATATTATACTATTCAGAAGAGGTACATGTTTGGTATAGCCTCTGGTAATTTTACTTGTGTCAAAGACAGAAATGTGAATTATTGTGATACATGAATGTAGAGCAGCAGCAAAAGAAAAAAAAAAGGATTTGTAATTTATCATGCTTTGCTATGTAAGATTGACTATAAGAAATGGTTTGCTTCCGATACAGAAATGGCCAATTCATGTGTTTAGGAGAACTTCAGTCTTTCCCAGAGAGCAAAGTATTTTGCCAAGAACCACGGAAGTCTCCTAGGTACCGTTTTGGTAAACGCTACGAGCAACTTACCCTCATGTCGTGGAGCACTCTCCCCACGTAAAAATCATCGTCTCCATTTATGAACTTGGAGCTTTAGCTGATTCTTTGTGGACATTTCCATCTGTTGATTGCCAACATTTCACCGCCACTTTCTTTCCAACGTTCTCATATTCTAGCAAGTAAAATGATGGATTATGTAATACATACCATCCATATGGCCTTTGATTCTAGATTATGCAATAAGGCATTTGCAGAATCTACATGGCGAAAGCATCGATACCTGAAGTTTCGAATAGGACGTAACAAGAAGTTTCGATTAGGACATTACGCCTAGGGAGACTTCCATTAGAGGAAAGGACGTGAATAAAGGCTTGTTAAGTTTGACTATACTTGGAAGGTTGAGGTTCCAAAAGAAATTCCACCATCGTTTGAGAGGGCTCGATCAAGAATATGCACTACAATTAGGTGTGTACGTTCGTGGGTCGATTTGTGTATTTTAATATTCGGAACCATTCATTACACTTCGGGGGGTTTCGTAAATGGAATTATTTAAGTCCACGTAATTATTGGAACCAAATTTGAATTCGAACCGTTAATTTCGGTTCAATTCTATAAATAATTTGTTTTTTTAAAAAAAATCTTGAAATGACCATATAAATTAGGTTCTCAATATCTAGTAGAAATAGATAAAATAAAATATATCACCAAATACATATTTTAACACTTTCTTAATGTAAATATGTCACCTAATAGTATTCCAATATTTAATGTAATAGCCTCTAATTGTGGCGTTATGTGCAATTCCTTGAGAATGATTTGTAGAGCGAGCAGCATAAAGTATAGTCATGACTGATTAAAACGAAAATGATATAAATCGATTGTTTAAATGAATAATTCTGATTGATTAGAATACTTACTATTTGGGTCTTGCAAACATGTTAATTGTTGCGCTTTGCAAACTTGCTAGTTGTTTGATTGGATAACTGTGTCTGAGTACATTGATTCGGTTCGATTCAAAAATCAAAAATCGTCTAAAACTCGGTTGATTCTCAATTTCTATTTCTATGGTTCGTCCTATGTCAATTAAAGCACTTGTTTGACACCCATTTTTGTTTGAAAAATAATTTTTAAAATAGTGATTGATGAAAGATTGTGTGGTTAAAAAGTAAGGAGAATTTTTGGGTTAATGTATAATATTATTTTATTAATAAAATGTGTGGTTGAGATGAAAAAAGAGAAATAGAATGAGAAAAAAAATGGGCGGGCAAAATATTTACAATTATAATCAAATATTTTTTATGCACAAAATTGTAAAGAAAAAATTGTCTTTTAAGTATACTTGGCCAATATCACAAACAACTCGTCGATATGCACACATCGAACAGCTAGAGGGCAAAAGCGCCTCGCTATTTAGGATTCTTCATTTCAGTTAACGGAAATGGCAAGCTCCCTCCCTATCTCATCTCCGTATATACAGATTTTCGAATAGATAGTAGAAAATTATATTCTCTTTAATGTATTGGTTGTAGAATAACTAACAATAAAATGGTTTTTTCGATTCTTTGCAGGCTGATTCTCCTTGCAAAAGGTAAAATCCCGATTTTTTTTTCCGTTTTAAGTCTGGGTTGATTTTCTGCTTTGTTGTGCTCTATTTATCTTTCTCTCGGTCTGGTATACATTCCGATCTATCAAATTGGGGTTTTGGGTCATTGGTTAGGTTTGTAAATATACGTTTGAATTTGAATTTTACTATCTTATATTCTCAGTTTTCTGTCGTTTTGATCATATGGTAAATTATTGCTCGTGGTTAATATTTATCAATGTTTTCCTTTATTTTGAGGGCAGCTATTTGTGTTTTTTGCCCGGGGGGGAATTTATTTTTGAATATGTTAGCTTATGATCCATGTATAATGCTTCCGATCTTCTTATTCTTTTTACGAGGATTTATTTGATTGATGCATGTATAAACTTAGTTGGATCCGATTATGGGTTGTGTTTCAAGTTGAATTTTCTAATTGTAGCTTCATTTTTAAGTATGGGGTGCTATCAGACCTGCATCTTTCCTGGATATTGAATGTAACTGTTGATAGTCCCATTTGGGTGAAGATATATGATTATTCTAGATAAATAAGACATTTTTGGTTTAGTTATAGGCGTTTGCATATCTGAAAAATGAATTTGTTGGTGTTTCATTATTCCTCTAGAATGGCCATTTTTCAAAAAACTAAAGTGTGATGCACAGTTTCTCTATTGAACTTATTTTCTCTCCAATGTGCTTCTATGCTCATCATTTTCCTATTTCAAATATTTCAATGAAGGCATTGTCAAATGCTAACTGCTATATGTTACAGTTTTTTTATCTTGCCTAAATCCTAATTACTGATATACTCTTGACTTTGAGGTGTTCGCATCTGAAGCTTCAACTTTTAGATAATATGTTATTCCATGCAACTTGTTTTCCACATGTCAAACATTTTTGGGTGTTTTGGTGCTTATAAGTTTGTCTGACCAGCTTATAAACCCACCCAAACACGCTCTAAGGCCATGGGTAGTATCTTTCTGAGATGATGGCGTGACATTTCAAACTGATTCTTCTTTCCCCCTGCACTGTATCCTACTGAATATAATTTCTATTCATACAAACAATTAATTTTGAAATTTTGGAGCAATTGGATTGAAGTTTTCACCTCGTTGAAGTTTATGAGCATTTGAACCTTCTCTCACATTTCACTTACTGACTATATAAATCAGGTATGCTTGGTCTCCTTCTCCTCAGGATGGAAAGTCGAGATCGAGGTCAAGGTCAAAATCTAGATCCCCATCTAGATCATGGTCAAGGCCTAGTGACAGGTCGAGATCGAGATCAAGGTCAAGGAATCGTGGCGGGTAATCATAATTTTGTCTCTGGTATTCTTGAGATGGCATATTGCAATAATGAGTGACTGTTCTAGTTTAGGTCCAGAATTTGATAACCTTGTGACTAGAGATGGCTAGTAATTTTTTATTTATGCTTATTCTTTCCTTTGTTTTGTCACATAGGGGTGATGCTATTAATCCTGGGAATACACTGTACGTCACTGGCCTATCCATGAGGGTCAGTGAAAGAGACCTTGAAGATCATTTCTCGAAGGAAGGAAAGGTTCGTTCCTTAATAATTTCTAAATGTGTTTTTGGTGGATAGTTTTCTTGACTAAACTAGTCATTGAGGTGGTTTCTGTTGACATGTTTTGTTATAGTAGATAAGTGACATGTAATATGTACCATAAAATGAAATTCTGTCTGGTATCTCAGGTCAATGAATCCTCCTATTCAACCTTGTCTGGACGAATTTTTAATTTTTCTCATGATAATATCCTTTTGTTTCCTCTATTTTCTAGGTGAAATCTGTATTTTTGGTTGTGGAACCTCATTCTCGGGTCTCTCGTGGTTTTGCATTTATAACAATGGTATCTGCTGAGGATGCGATTCGATGTATCAAGCACCTTAATCAATCAATTCTTGAAGGTCGATACATTACCGTGGAGAAGGTAAGCTGCCTATTGACTATAACTCGCACGACCAATTTGATTGAATATCAGTCTTCTTGACCTGGAGGTTTTCTGGTTATATTCAGAAGAAATTACATCAGCTATGTTGGCAGCAATCAAAGATGATGAGTCCATCCATTGCAACGATTTAATCAAACGGTTTGATCATTGGTCAGATAAAACAGCTTTTCATTTGCATCTGATCAACTAAATAGCAATTATATTGCCCAACAAATACAACCTCAGCAAATACTTTCACTTCTCAACTAATCAAGGGTCATCGACAACATTCTAATCAGACTTCTATGGTATCTCACACTTAGCATTAGTTTTAATCTTTTAGCTTGTTTCGTTTCTTTCTTTGAACCAAAATGGAATCGATGCTACTGTTTATCAATTAACTTGCTGCTAAATGAGTTTCACTCCTTAGTGCCCAACGGAAATAAATAGATGTATTTTTGCCTTCTACTTTTCCACGTCTGCGTAAGATTCTTGGATACATGTTTTCCTACCGAAAGCATTGTCTTTTGGGTTTGTATGTGCTTGTTGTCATATATGTACAACTTCCTTTTTTTAGATTACGTACATTAAGATAATTTTTATTTCAGTCTAGAAGGAAACGTGCAAGGACTCCTACACCGGGTCACTATCTTGGGCTGAAGAACAGTAGGGTCGATGGTGAGTTCCTGTTGTTTTTTTTTTTTTGGGCTGTTGTCTTTAGTCATTTGAAAGTAATATGTCAAATAACAAGAAACTGATTCATTGCTTGGGGGAAAGGGTATCGTGGTAACTCTGGTGGATATCGAAGAGGTTCTAGCCGTGATGACTATGGGTACCGGAGGTCTCCTAGGCGCTCCCCCTATAGAGGTGAACGCGATTACTCTCCTAGGCGCCCCACTTATAGAGGAGAACGTGATTACTCTCCAAGGCCTTCACCTTATGGTGGATGGTCAAGAAGGGACAGATAAAGGTCATATTCTCCCCGGTGCAGTCAATGAAATTATGCATATTGTTCTAGGTAAGACAAGTTATGGGATTTAAAAATCTTTGTTTGAAAGGATAAAGACTCGTATGAAGACTTGTATGATTATGTTGTGATTTGGACTAAACTGGTGGGGCTTCTCCAGTGGTATGATATTATGTATCAGTTCAACTTTCA